TATTTACACCAAAAAATGGAAGATTTGCCATCATTCAATATTGTAGTACGTAATTGTATAAGTAATATCAGTGCTATTGTGACTGTATATTAGATGCACCAGTTGACGTGTATTGAACGTGTAACGTCATTTGTTTACTCTTGAACATCAGCAAAAGTCGAACATTTACGCTACTTTGAGCTCAATTTCAGGCTCTTTTCAGTACTAAAAATCAATCAAAATCATCTATATTTTTGTAATATATCTTCCAATTTATCAAATGAGACCAAGAAACTGCTAATATAACCTTAAAAACCATACAAAAATACACTGCAAAGTTGGTGTTTTAGTCTAAAAATGCTTTTTTTTTTTCTCATGCATTGTGTGCTGCAGGATTTGTTTTATATGATGCACACTTACCACATAGATCCATTCTCTCATAATCTTGGCCCAAATTTACCACTTACAGGCTTGGACCCTGTGGACAATGCACAGATACACGGTTTGGACCCTCAAAGGGTTAATGTATACACTAATTAAACCAGGAGGAGCTAGAGTATTTGTTTAATTTTCATTTTGTTTTCCTCAGTGAAGGTGATGTTTCTTGCTTATTTTTAGGACCAACCTTGGAAAAAAAGATGAAATTTGTTGAGTTGAATCTAGGCATTTGTCATGTTGCAGCAGCTTCAGAGGTTAATACCACTGGGGATTTTGAAGGAGTTTGAGGTCCCCCCTCCCCCCCTAACCCCCTCCCCCTTCCCCCCCTCACACTCTCCTATTCCCTCTGACTTCCTTGCATTTTTTTTTATGACACCAGCCATCTCCCACTGAGGCAGGGTGACCCGAAAACGAAGAAACTAAAGTGTTTCTTCTTTTATCCTTTAGTACAGTATACAGGAGAAGGGGTTACAAGCCCCTTGCTTCCAGCATTTTAGTTGCCTCTTACAACATGCATGGCTTATGGAGGAAGGATTCCTCTCTGCTTCTCCATAGAGTTTTCTCTGATTATATCTAACACAAATCTCTATACATGTGTTTACTACTTCACTGCAAAGGGATATATCTGAGGAAGTCAAATCTAGAATGTCATTCACATATTAGAAACAGTACTGGTCTTAATTCTGATCCTTGTGGAAGCCTGCAAGATTCTCTTTCCTGGCAGTCACTCTTTGATTCAATGAAGTATATACCCTGTTATTCCTGCATGAATCACGTTTTTGGTCCAGCTTCTTGAGTACAGTATCAAATACCTACTTGCAGTCTATCTCCTTAACCATTAAGACATTATTAAAGTAATCAATTTTATTTGGTTGATTTTTATTCCTCCATTATCTAACAAACTGTTAGAAAACCATTAACAGGCCAGGTGTCGCATTTTATGACACTCCATGTCTTCATTTGCTTGATTCGGAAATTTTAACTCTTCGCAGTTCATTCTCTCACTTTGGCTGTCCTTCTGATTTCATAAATTCTGCCTTCCTACATGCTGAACAGACTTTCTTCTCTCCCAAACTCTCTGCTCCTGTGAAAGCTCTTGTTCTTTCATTTCCTATGTTTCCAGTCTACTAAATTTTAACAACTTTCTCAATTCCTTAGACATCAAACTTACTTCTCGCCAAATTAATACCCTTCGTAGTAATCAATCTTTTGTCCTTCCCATGTGGTCCGTTTGATCTGCAGTTCTTTCTTTTTTTCTCCCATTTTTAGACTACTGCTAATTTTCTTTTTCTTTTCTTATTTTCTTTTCCTTTTATTTCTTCTCTGCACTCCCTACTCTGCCATGTCACTACCACTCCTCTCTCCTTATTGCCACCTTTGCCTCTCTTGCATTACTTATACTACCACCATTACTACATTTATACAGCTATCTTCTCTTGTTCTACTATTGGCCCTGCCCACTCTCTTGTATATTCTCACTCCTTTTCCTTCATGCTTCTGTCTGGCTAGTCGGTGGTCCAAGTCGGACCTAAAATTTTGTCATAAGTTTTATTCTCGCGTGTGTGGGTTGTTTATTGTTCTAGTCACAGTTTTGTGGCTTTTTATTCTTTGAATTGGATTATATCAGGACTGTGGGCAAAAATTGCATAATTTGTGCCCAGACTGCAAGCTTTGTGCTTGAGTAAGTTTGCCACTGAATTTTGTATTTTTTGTGTCGTTACCTCCAGAAAAAGATTCTATTATTTCGTTTTTCTCTTTTTTTTTTTACTCCATGATGTCAGCACATAATTTTGGGGGTCATAATAGTGAAAGAGTTAATAGTGTTTCTCCGGAGGTCTGATCTGAGATCTGGCGATGGTAAAGATAACCCTCGGAACCCTCTAGTACCATAGTTCCAATTTATGTAATATTGCTTTTTCAGTTTAAAAAACCTTGTCCAAGACTTAGCTGAGGATGGGAGGGCAGTTATTGTCAGAACCATTAACTGATAGGAATCATGTTTTGAGACTGGGCTGTAGGGTGATGATCTTCAAAACCATTAACAGATGAGATACTCAGTAGGAACTTTCACATATCTGAGTTGTCGATCACTGTATTATGATTAGTGCATGAGAGTAATGTAGAGGCAGCATGTTTCTTCACAGTAGTGAAAATTTTTAAGATTTTTCCCCTGTACCTTTCTCTCACTTTAAGTGCACAAATTTTCTGCTGCATATTCTCCTTCATTTATCATTATCACCAGAAACATTAAATATTTCTTAACTCTTCATTACTGTTAAGGCAACTTTTTCTTTCAGTAAGTTACTAAAAGTTATAGCCTTGTTTTGGTAGTAAAGAGTAACTCATGGAATTTACAGCATTGCTAATGCCTTGGGAATGCAGGTCTGATGATTAAGAGGTGGTGTACAATATTGTCCCAGAGAGTGAACTGCACATTTTGCATGGCCCTTGAACTTGCAGTGTAAAATTTGGTTGTGGATGTTCATCCTGCCCCCCTCCCTCTCTGTTGTCATAAACATTAAGAGAAAACCTTTTTTAAATTATCACCAGTAATATGACTGCACATGTAGAATATACAGCTTTTGTATTTTTTTACCTATATATATTAAACTAAACATATTCAAAATGCTGGAATTTACATTGTTCATCAATTTATTCCAAATCCAACTTGCCAGACCATCTTTGAAGGCAATTAATGAAATGCCTTTCAAGCCATGAAAATTGTTGGTTTATTCAGCTGTAGTGGCTTGAAATGGAAAGTTGTTGACTATTAACAGTGTTAAAATTACAGGAAAATTTTTGGATGTGTAAAATCTGCCCCTTCATTTTTAATTTTCTAAATTGTCATTTTTTAGGGGGGGAGGGTTGTCAATTTTTTAGCCTTAGAATTTTAGTTTATTTAATTGAAACTAAGATTTCATATCCCGGTATTAATTTTTGTGGCATTATTCACTCACTGTTGATCAGGCTCTGATCCACCAGGAGGCCTGGTCTCAGACCGGGCCGCGGGGGCGTTGACCCCCGGAACTCTCTCCAGGTAAACTCCAGGTAAACTGTATTTTATATTGAATGTCATTATGATGGATGTGAGGTAACATTTAAAGGTAGTAAGGTATGGCAGCTAATCTGGAGTCAGATTCCTTTTTTTCAAATCTGAAATGCCATCTCCCCAAATAAGATGAATATAACAGAAATACTTGAAGTGTGGTACAGTATTATCAAAGTGTTATTGTCTTATAATTAGTCCTTTTCTGTGATGTTGGGCTCAACTCATGACATAATAGAGTGGCCTTTTTCTGACAAAATTTTTTATTATCTAATGTTTGTAAAGGAAATGTAGGATAACTGGCCATCATATGTCTTAGTAGTTTCTTATAGGTTTAGCAATTAAATACAGTACCTGCATTACTCGCACTTTTATTCCCACTTCTTGTTTTATACAGTACTTGAATACATTCTGGTTAAAGCACAACGTTAACTCAGTGAAGACATTTACTGACTACATAATCTTAATCTCCCGCACTCTCTTTCTGCTCCCTCTCCTCTCCCTCCATCCCCTCCCACATACAAGAGCACTCACACAGGTCAAAAATCAATGATGCCCATCAAAATATCCAAGGAGGCAGGACCAGGAGCAGTCTCTCAACTCTACATATACAAATTGCACACATTCATGTACAGTATAGATACATAAACACAATTACATTCTAATAGTTTTTCAGACTGAGAAGTTTTACAAGAATTCTTGCATCTTTTTTTTTTTTTTTTTTCAAGTCAGGGACAATTTGATTACTCTCAACTGACAAAATAAACTGGGACACTATAAAAAAGACTTTCCACTGGACTCTTGGATGTAATTTCATTAACTTTGCTTTTTATTTTGATTTTTGTGTTAATTTTTCTCTGGGAGTAGTTAAATGATGTAAATATTTATTAGATGCGTTGATTAATGGAAAAAGTCCCACTCTGAGTAATTACTCTTTGTCAGTTGGAGTTTCCTGTTTTGTTGGACAGTAGTTTTTATAATTAGTCATTTGTTATAAATGAAAAGCATGATCTTAAATAGCATGAAAATTTTACCAAAAATTTTTGCTCACTTTAAATTCATAGAAATGTTATTAAAAGGATATTAATTCACTTGAATGCTTCAACTTAGTTGCAGCAGCTTTTCGATTTTTTTATGCTTTTCTGTTATTACCGAGTATAGGTATACAGTACAGTATGTGCTTCCGCAAAACTTTTGTTTTAACTGCTAACAACTTCAAGTAATGCTCTTGTATATTGGCCTGAAGGCAACTGTAAAAACAAAAAATGTCCTTTGTTACTCTTAAATAAATTTTTTTTTTTTTTGCATAGAGATTTCTAACTGGTGCCTTTATTTTTATATACATTTTATTTATATGAATTTTTGGTCATTCAAGTTTTTACTCTCAGATTTTATTGAACCAGCTATCCTTATTGTCTTAGGAAAGATGAATGCTTTGTAATAGATTATTGCATTGTACTTTCCTTAAAGTGCACCTCTGGAAATTCTTTAAGCAAACAAGGACTTTTTTAACTGTTTGGCCCATTTTGACCAATGACACAACTCATTGCGGACATCCGACCCCTCTACAGTGGACACAAGTGGGCTAAATCCTGAGGGTGTGACGCGGCTGACTGTTATTGCTTCGCCGACCCTCAACCAGGACCAGCTCTGGAAGTTGTTTGACCTTATCCCCGGTCTTGATTACTGCGACCTGAGGAAAGACCGCAAGGCTGGACAGGTATACTATCAACATGCAGCACCTGGACAGGAAAACTGTGACAGTTTCAGTGTTTGAGGTTAACCTTAGATTTGATGATAGGCTTGTTTCAGTGTCCTTGAACACAGCAAAAGAAATACTGTACTACATCTTGGACATATTTTCTCATGGAGATAATTGTACTATATTGGGTATTGCCTCACCATATTCCTAATATTTTGTTTTAAACAGGCAGCATTAATATTATGCATCTTGGCAGCCTGAAAAATTAGGGTAATGGTAGTTTTACACTAATGGTTTAAGGTCTTTTGTACAATGGTTTAGTGGTTTATATGCCTATTTACACTAGACAAAATTTTCAAATACAGTATCTTAATATAGTATGTACACGAGACTGATTCACTACAGTATTTGCATGTGTACCAGTTCCATTAACAGATAGGATATTAATTCACACGAACTTGTAAAGGCAAATTGTGTGTGGTATAAAGTATGCTCTACATTTTAAGACAGGGTCCAGTTTGTTCTAGGTATTTTTCTCTTAGGAACAGCATGAAAGGAATTGAATGCTCATCGTATACTGGGGACTGCTGACGAAACTTCTTCCTTTAATTATTCACTTAAATAACATTAAAATATATAGATACTGTGTGAGTCACCAATTAGTATTTTGAAAAGAGGAATGCTTACTGTAGATACTAATTTTTCAGTAAGTCACCATTTTGTGTTGTGAAAACAAGCATACTTATCCATAAGCATTGTAAATAGTTATTTTTTTTTTTTCACTTTTGCTTGAGCTTTTTTTTTTTTTTTTCCCCATTTAGTGTAGGGCTGAGCATGTAGTCTTTATTGGACACTGGCTGTTATTTCATCCTTTTCAATATCATTGACCCATTAGCAGTACTCAAAACATTGGCTCTGTATTTTACATCTTGGTTTTATTTTTAACATTGGTGAACAGTTGTCAGATGTTAGTACAGGCTAATAAAGTATTGATGTAAAAGGTTTTTAAAGGAATAACTTTAATATATAACTGTTTATTACAAAGCTATGTGATAAATGAGTCTGGTTTTATGAAATGTTGCTCATTGTACTTGTATACAAGGAAAAATTAGCAAAAATTAATTGGACGTATAGTAATGGGATAGAGAAATAAAAAGAATATACCACATTCCATGTAGTGACTAAAGCTTAAGAATCATTAATAAAGGAAAAAAGACCTTCATTGATTCTGTTAGGTTTGTTATTGTGGTTGTACAGCATTTTGTATGATACAAATTAAAAAGTGAATATTGTGATCAAAGTTGTTTTTACTGAAATACAGGTTGCAGTTTTTTGAACTTAATGCTAAAATCTAATTTATAGCCATGTGTAAAAGGCACAAGTTTAGGCAACAGCAGTATGTAATGCTAAACTGCATGCACTAGTTTTATTCAAGAAATATGGCTTGACATAGCAGCATTGTATGACACATGTTTAGCACTTATTTTTTTTTAATAACATCTCTACATAATTCTGTATTGCATAGTATAAATCTGTGACAAGTACAGCTCCAAGATGAAGGAATGTTGATGGTAGGTGATTTGTTAAATTGCATGATAAATATACAATGATTTTATTATTTGTATTCATAGAATAGTGGGTGGCCAAATACAGATACAGAGTATTAGAAATTCTGCTGAAACACTGTTAGCTTGTATAAATTTAGAAACTGTCAATTTAATGGTCAGTATTTGGTAGGCAATAACCAGAATGCTAATTGCTTTCACATTTTATATTTATCTTGAATTTATTTCTTATTTAATACTTATGTAACTTATATAGAGGGATATCAGTTGAAAATGTCTGGATATACCCTTGAAAGTCAAATTAAGGATAACAGTATCAGAATAATACTAACTTCTTCGTACAGCCTATAAGCTCTTATTATCAACTGATAAAAAAAAACTTCTGGAAGGTTTCAGTTTTGGTTTAACTATGAGTTAAGATACTACCTTTAAGAATAAAAAAGTTATGGTGCTGCACTAAATATGCAGAGAACACTAAATGTAGAAAGTATATAATGAATTAAATGAAAATTGATGATAATTATTTGTACTCTGTGAGATAATACTGTGTTTATGAATGAGAGTCCTTCTAGTGTGAATGTTCTCAATGTAAGCTTTCTAAATATGACCAGTATGTGATTCAATAACTTTTAATGTATTACTTTTCACTAAAAGAACTCTCTCTTGGCCCAATTCAAAAGATGCTTCATCATCAGGCGCGAGGGGTTGCTACCGTGGTGTATAATAATACCCAGTCTGCAACCTATGCTAAGGAGAAGCTTCATGGGTTTGAATATCCTCCTGGTCAACGATTAATTGTCAAGTTTGATTCTCATCATGACATGCCTCCGTAAGTTTATATTAACAAGTAAATTTTCTTTTTCCTTTCTGTGAATGCATTGGAATATTTAGAATCTTAATTTATCTTGTATTCTCATATGTATTTTTTTTTTTTTTTTCAGAGGGCCACCACCAATGATTCCAGGTGCTCCAGGAGGCCCACCGTTTGCAGGTTTGCCTCGAGGTGTAACAGGTGCTTTAGCCCCACACAATGGTACAATGGGAGGAAGTCCTCCTGGTGGTATGAATGTAGCCCCCCAGTCACTCTCTGGTGGTCAGCCAAACAGCAATATCCAACAGGATTTAGCACATTTAGCAGAGACCATTGCCCATGCAACATCTCTGATACAGGCTGCAGGACTAAATCAGGGTTTGTGGTTCCATATTTACTTATTTTTGAGAATACAAAAGTGGTGTTAGATGTAGCTGCTGATTAATCAGTTGAATGAGATTAATGCTCTTAGGGAAATAATGGCTTTTTCTAAAATGCTGTTTTTGATGGATTTTTTGTTACCCTACCTTGGTGGGAGATGGCCAGTGTGTTAAAAAAAAAAATAGCAAGGATTACAATGTACCCTTTAAGGAAGGTTCCATGATGCAGGTGAGGGGCTCTTGATCTATGGAATTGGACATGGCCATGCTTTGGATTAAAACTGATTGCCTCCCATTCCCCCAGGAGCTGTATGACCCCTACAGATTTAGTGCCTGCTTGCACCCTTCCCTCATGAATATGTTTATAATTTTACAGTTCAGTTTAGTTTAGGATATGCTCTATTTGCATACCACTTCATTTTCTTCTCATAATGTTTAATCTCGAGGAGAGAAATTTAAATTGAACCACTTCATTCATCTTGCTCTTTACCCTTACATGGAGATTTAAACAGATAGTGCAATGCATAATTGATAACCAACAGTATTGGGACTAGGAATCTTTAAAAATCAAATAATTTTTTAAATTTTCACCAAATTTTTTAATAGAATTTAAAAGTCATTGTCGATTATATGACTTTGCCAGTGACCTGTCAGTCCACCTCGAGATTAGAATAACATCTAATCTGTTCAGGGCATCATGAGACGAATGTTGTGACATAGTACTATATTGTAAATACATATTGTACAGTATTTGTATTGACCACGTGAGAGAGTGCAACATTTTATTTTTCTGGAAATATTATTATAGGTTAATAGCTTGGGAGTTTAATATTAAAAACATTGCTTTCTTTCACATTGTAAGGGGAAAACAGTAGTGTACATGAGAGATGGATCATTATTTTTCACTTGCTGGCATTTGCCTTGCATGCTAGAAGCTATGAGGCATGCAGTATTATATTTTCCCTGAAAATAGCTGCATTTCTTATTGATACTCCAAACAAATAATTTTTCTAGAAAGCAAAGACATTTTTCTGACTAATAGTTTATGAATATATTAGTGTTCATATATAGTACAGTATTTAAAAATGGGTTGTTTTCAATTCATATTGTGAAAGTTAGACCAGAATATATATTGACAAACCCTGCCACTCTCCAGGCTGTGTCATTGAAGGCACAAAAAACAAAATAGGATATGAGCATGACGTACAAAATCCTATTGGTTATAAACATGATAAGAATAGGCTCTTTTCAGCAATATAACAAGAACAAAGAAACATGCTTGGACATTGCACACACACATACAGTGGACCCTCGGTTTTCATGATTAATCCGTTCTAGAGAGTCTGACAAAGCCCGGAAATCATTAATACCGAAATAACTTTCCCCATAAAAATAATGTAAATCCAAGTAATCCGTTTCAGACTCTCAAAAGTATTAAAAAATACATTTTATAGAGAATAACTATAGTTTTGCATACAGAAAATAATGAGAAATAAATATAAAGCACTAATGAAATGGTTAAATGAAAATTTAAATCACTTTTACCTTTATTGAGGAGTCTTCTTGGTGTATGGAGGGAGGAGAGTTTGGAGACAGGACAGAATGCTTAAATATGACACTAATAACAGCTCTGCGGCTTATTTATCTATCACAATTCACCTACTATGACATAATAAACAATATTAATAGCATAGAAACATGATATATACTCTAGAATGAATAAAATATGTCATTACGTATGTGAGGAGTGGTCTTGGGTTTATCAGGGCCATTGACAGCATAAGCCGTACGTTTAGTGGTGGCGGCGGCAGCGGCAGCAGCAGCAGCAGAGGCCACCACCACTATTCATGCTGAAACAGTGTACGTAATTTATAAATGAGAAATATTTACACTTACCTTCAAGGAGATGCTGGGATTGGTTTAGGGTGGTGGAAGATACGCAGGCAGTGTATCTTGTCAGTAGCCCTATATACCTCCAACAACATTGGAGGAGTTAGTTTCGTATCTTTTTCTATCTCTTAATTTACTTGCTGCACTTGATCGCTGGCTGGCACTGTAGCCTTTATTGACTCCTGCTGCTTTAGTATCATACATATTATAGAATCACTGAAGAAGGCACATTCCTCTCTCTTCCTCCTCCACTTTGGTACTTTGCTACAAGTTCTTTCTTGAATTCTATCGTGTTTCTCACCTTCTTTACTATAGGGCTGGCACTTGGAGCCTTCTTTGGGCCCTTGGTGGCTTATTTAACAGTCACACACAATAAACAAGCACAAAAATGGATTATTACGAAATGTTTCATATGACCTTGCAGGGTAACGTTCACTCATCGAGAAGCAATGCCACATTGACTCAGAATGCGTATGTGGGAGGTTTTGTGTGTGTGCAGGCACTCAGACGTGTTCTGCACGACCGACAAAATCAGAGGGAATTAACAAAATTGGACTATATTTTGACAGAAAAAAGTCGGCGATAACCAAAAATCACGAAATCAGAGGCTAACAAAAACAGAGGGTCTACTATAAGTCACTGAGTCAGAGTGATATCTAGAAACATTTCTTTAACAAAGAAGGAATGGGTGGATTATTGATAGGGAAGGTGAGTTCCATGCACAGGTTCAAAAATAAGGATCATTCACATCAATAAGTAAAGAATTAACAGGTGGGACTAAGAGTTGGAGCTCATCTAGAAATTCAGATAGTTAATTACACAATAAAGCATTTCCCCAGGAATCCATGATGTGCATCATTCTGATTAGTATTTAGGGAGCACTTCATGAATTATAGTATACAACATTGCAAATTATCTTTGGCTAATGCCTGGTTTGAGCAAGGCAAAAAAAGTGAATCTAGGAACTGCATTCTATATACATGGCCCACAACTTCCATGATAAAACATCTCTCTCATTTCTTTTCTTAAACTGGCCATCTCCCACTAAGGTAGTTATCTAAAAAGAAAAAAAAGACATTCACCATCATTCACTGTCTTGCCAGAGGTGTGTCAACATTGCAACTCAGATGCCCCTCCAAATTGCAGTATCCCTAGCCCTCCTTTAGAGTGCAAGCACTGTATTTCCCATCTCCATAACTTGAGTCCAGTTAGCCGGTTTACTTGAATCCCTTCATATATGTTACCGTGCTCACACTCCAACAGCACGTCCGGTCATAAAAACCATTTGCATCCACTCCTTTCTTAACGCACTCACATATGCCTGTTAAGTGATCAAGCCCCTCGCCTACAAAACCTTTACCCCTCCCTCCAATCTTTTCTAGGAAAACCCCTACCCCTCCTTCCCTCCATCACAGATTCATGCACCCTCCAATCATTTTTTTGCTGGAGTTTCGTAAATATAAAAATCTGGACAACCCAAGGCCCCTTTTCCAAATTAAAAAATCTGTGAATCTTTACTTCGAGCAGTTTTCTGCAATGAACTATTCACCAGAATAATCGAGGTCTCGTGTGCATTGTAGATTGTTTGCTTACCTGTTAATTAGAATATTTACATTAGTAACCAAGCACCTACATCTAGCATCTACATTTTTTTTTCACCAGTTATTCTTTCTAATCCAAAGATGGTGTATTAATAAATGAAATTAACTTACATAAAATGAAAATGGCTCATAATATTAGTGTAAACTTTCACTGATTATCCAACCATACGTAGTGTGTGGTTGGCGTGCTTACATTTACTCGCTGGCTCTTGAGGGTCAGTATGGTAGTTATATTATTATTGTAGTTATTAATCATGGTATAAGTATTAGTAGTATTATTCTTATTAGTATTTCATTGGTGCACCCTGGAAGAGAGGTGGGAATGTTGCAGTTTGGATGGTCATTTGAATTGTAATATCTACACACTTATGGCAAAACAGCTTGTGCATGAATGAAGGTGAATATGAATGTGTGAACTTTCTTGAGTCACCCTCTAGGTTGTGGATTTAAAAAAAAAAAAAAGTGTTAAGTGCTGAAACCATGTGAGTCATTCAGTATGAGGAATGTGATGGAGGCTCCACCTTCTGTCTGACAAGAGTGAGAGATTTGCTCTGCCTAATCCTACTTGTTTAACTGTCCCCAAAAGATTTGGTAGTAGTGTATTAAGTGAACAGTGTAGTTTAAAGTGTATAGTTGCCGGCATTTTATGTGAATAAATCATATTTAGAGCATTCATTATTATTGGCAGTCAAACAGCAGCATAGGCTAAGCTTTTGAACAAAAGGATGTCATTCATGAACTAGACAAATACTTGTTCAAAAACTTTTTACCTGTGTGTCATAGTTTGAGTTTGCAACACCTGTATGGAACCCCTTATTTTGTAAAACAAGAAACAACTTTCTGCATCCACCCTTCAGAATGTTTCCCTCTGAGTCACCCTATGTTGTGGAAAAACATAAGTCAGATTTCAACATAACCCATGGAAAGTGCCATGCTTGATGGAGTTTATAAGCACTAGTTTCTGTTTAATTTTAAGAAAATTTTTTTCTTTTGTGTGTACTGCTTTGTGAAATGCATGCTGATGTATTGTCCTTGGGTACCTAAACAAATGAGTTTGTTGCACATAGTTTTAAATCTGGCTTAATTGTGAATATTGCTTGTACACTACATTGTAATTTGTACAATTTGTAACATTTATGGTTGTGCTGTTTTGGAAATGCACAAGAGAAAACATGGCATGTATACCTTCATTTTGTGCAATTGACTCAGCTAAGGGTGATATTAGATTGGTAAGCAACAACTATACAGGAAGATGCTTAAATGTCTCCTATATAAGCATGAAAGGGAAGCCTTTAAGTGCTTTACACACTGGTATGATGCTGGTTGTTAGTCAATGTAAGATGGCTAGTATATCATAACTTTCTACTGACATTCAGTATACGTTTGTGTAGACTTGCATGTGCTTTATATCTGTTAATAATACTTGGAATCATCGGCCCTACTTCCCGGTCTTAAGATCAAGCTTCATAAACTGGAAAGGAAATATAACAGAAATAAGAAACTTGGTAATGAGTGTGTAGTGTTTTTTTTTTTTTTTTAGCTGTGTCTAAGATGAACCTGTGATGTGTACATGAGACAGAAAGAAAAGACCATCAGTCCTGCTAGATTGCCAAACATTGAACAGGTTTATTTTTAAACACTTTTGACAGGATGGTAATATTTCCTTTGGTTGCTGTCATTAATGTGATGTTACCCTGTGTGAAAATACTGTATTTCCTTTCCATTTTAGGAGGCCTGGTCTGAGACTCAGCTGCTGGGACCGTGATCCCTGAAATCATTAACAGAGCTTTAGCCATGAAAATGAATGTCTGTTACCTGAATTGGGTCTTAATCCCATGAATAGCCACAGGCTCTTTAGATTATCTTGAAGATTGTCATTATTTGTATAGTGAGTAATTGATATTGATGAAATTTTATTAATGTTCAGTAAATTTATATATACATTTTTTTTTTTAATTTAAGAGTAAACATGGCAGCTGCAGTAAAGCCTTGATTAGATGGTCTTCAGTTTAACAGGTTTTTAGTTTACCAGACAAAAACCCAGACAACAAAGTTGGTAAACAAAAGATAGTCTGTTTTCAGAATTGTCCATTGTTGCGATCTGCTGGGTAAATTGATATTAAAATTTTCCAGTATTGTTACATACTGATTTAAATCACCGTTGCCAGACTCCCCTTCCACCCCATTAGTACATTAAATTGGAGTTTCACTGTATTTGGTGGTTCTGTTACTTAGGCTGGAAACATTGGAGGACTTTTTTAATAGTGGTTTCAAAATATTCTCTCAAAGCCTATTGGACAATGAAACCCAATTGCAAAAATTTGTGGGAAATAGTTCCTGAAAGTTTTTGGTTATATGAATAGATATTAATTTGACATGTTTCACTAGGGTTTCCCTATTGTATTTAAAAGTTATCCAGATTATTTTTGAAAGTTAGACACTCTAGGTTCAGTGGGTTTTTCTGTTTAGTGAATTCATAATATTTAGTTGGTCAGTATCTTGAATTCACGACTTACGATTAATTTTAATGGCGTGAATATTGTGCTTAGGAGTACTACTACGTTTCTTTCTCAGGCTTTTATTAATACAGGGAAATATTCTTGTTTGCAGGATCTGGTAACATGAGCAGAATGGGAGGAAGTCCAGGACAACTTAGTGGGGGAGAAACTTATGATCCTTCTTATTGCTCAGTCAAACTGCCTCCCCCTCAACCATTAGCACCTGTAGACTCAGCTGTTGCAGAGAGGTAAAAATGTTTGAAGGTTTATTACTACAGCCTTTTTTTTTTTTTTTTTTTTTTTTTTTCAGTTGGCTGCACAGTTATGAAGTCTGGTTTTAGAGTACAGTAGGTCCTGATTTACAGTATTCCACACTTTAGATTAGAACACCTTGGAACCAAATGAATGCTAATCCTCAGTTATTATTGCTAATATTCAAACAAAATAATTTTAAATATTTTTTTTTTCTGTTTTTTAACAATATGCATTCAGAGTTTATTTTATGCATGTGTGGAGAGCTCTCATTTGTTTGGTAGAGATTGGTAAAGAACTAAAGGATTGATATTTACAGTGATGGAGTGAATGATGGTGAAAGTTTTTCTTTTTCGGGCCACCCTGCCTTGGTGGGAATCAGCCAGTGTGATAATAAAAATAAATAAATAAATTAACCCATGAATGGTCCAAACGTATATGTATGTTTTTACCTACACGCTAGTGCCCCAAACGTATATACAGTGGTCCCTCAATAATCGTAAGGCTTGATAGTCGTAATTTTCGAAAATCATAACGTTATTTTCATCAAAACATTGGCTCGTGATTCGTCATTTGACTCGCAAATAGTCGTTCGTCTGGGACATGTACATGCAGCCGTGAGCCGCCTCACACTCCATTCCCAGCCAGTGTGCCATTGTTTATCAGTGAGTGAGGATGATCCCTCAAGTTCATATAACACATTTCATAATATTCAGTTTATTTTAGTGCTTGCAACTGCAAAATAAGTCACCATGGCTCCAAAGAAACCTTCTAGTGCCAGCCCTTTGGTAAAGAATGTGAGAAACATACATAATTTAAGAAAAAGTTTGTAGAAAAA